TATACTTATTGTGATCGTATTTCTCGTTCAACACAATTGGCTTATCGTTCAAACAATTAGTTATTGATTCTTCAAAATTATTTGCTGAACACTCGGACCAATTGGTCTCTCCTCGAGTGCCACGACTGCCGGACATTATGTAACCATTTATTGGGCACTCAATATTGAAAGGCCAGCCGTCGTGTAAAATTCCTAAACTTTAAATACAAAAGTTAAAATTATTTTTACTGTTAACTAAACATAATACGAGAAAAATTAAATAAATGATAATACTTGTGGGCCATCTCATGAGCGGCAGCCCAGGTAGACATGAGTCCAGAAGACGGCCACATCTCTCCCGTAGTAGAAATGGGTTGGAATTCACTGATCACACAATTTCTATCAACACTGCATATCCCGGAAACAGATCCCAAACCCAATGATTTATAATCTCGAGTGCCATCATCTCTGACCACATATAAGTCATATCCCGTCAAAAGTAAAGCCATATCCCAATGCAAGGGATCCGAATCAGACACCGGATTCATTAGAGACTGATATTCGCAAAATTTTTTCAACAATTCGTCTCTATTACCATTGGTTTGCAAAAATATGTCCTCTTTTTGTATTTCAATTTTGACTAAATTTATAATAAAATTCTCCTCAAATGATTTGTGAGCATAAATGGCTTGTATTTGATTTATATAACACAAAAGCATTTCGTGAAAATCATCCTCCGTTTCGATCAAACCGTTTGTCCGAAAGTTTTCGTATGCTTTTAAATCAACAAATAATGACAGCTCTAAGTATTTGATTCCTTTCTTATCCTTCTTCTCGTTGTTATGCTTTTTATCAAAGAGTGAATTCAATTCATCCCATCGTTTACTAATCCTTTTGCTGAATATTTCGTTCATATTGTGTGGCTTTACTTCAGACAAGTGGTCCGGATATTTGGCCACTCGGGCGCCCATATATACAGGCAATTGGCTTTTGGTAGCTGTCAGTGCTTTGGGGCCAGAATTCATGGACATTTGTTTGTGATTTTGATCGGAATTCACGCCAACGTTGTGTTCAAATATATTGAGATTCAAAACCATAGCTTTTGGAAGTATATTAATATTCTCATCACTTTTTGGCTCATTATTACTCTTATCGCTAATCGTATTCTCATCACTGATTGCATTGTTGTTTGACTTTAAATACAAATAAAAATAGCAATATATTATGTCATCTCATAGTATAGTTATAAATGAATTCAATTAAATCTTTAATAAAATAGTATAAAGTAAATAATATACAAAAATGTAATACTCACTTACTTTTGCAAAATTAATTAAAAATGTTGAGTATATTAACACAGAATTGAAGAATAACTGCATTTAAGAGCTTTTTATAAAACAAATTATTTGTTTCCGTAAATAATGCAAACTAATAATTAAGATATAATAATTAGTAATACAATGAATTGGCACCAAATAACAGGTCTTATTATAAATAATATAAAATAAATGCCAATTTAAGCCCGCATTGAAAGCATTCACTTTTTGTGTGCCATTTCTTTATTCAATTGCACTAAAACTCATCTCTTATTTTAGTATTTAATTAATTTGTTAATCACTTTATATTTAATATTAATCGCTAAACAATTTACACGATTAGTTATGTGGCCCATAAATTAACACAATTACTTAACTCTCCCAATAATTGCAAAACAAATTATTAGCTATTGTTTAGTATTATTCAAAACACATTAATAATTATTGAGTCAATTAAAAGTTTTCATATTTCTTATAATGAATACAGAAATTGTTTTGAGAATTAAAATAAAATTCATTTTAATCATTAACTGTTTTAAACAATTTTAATTAAAAATATCACATGAGAATTGTTTATAAACTAACTCCAATTAAACCTAATTGTCCATGTGTTAACTCTATATTACAGTATACGCAACAAACAAACAAATTATTAATGAAATAGTTAAGAAAATATTGTTTGTTATCAAGATGTATAAATTCTTTAGATTATTTTAAAAATTGATTAATATAATTTTATATGACATGTACATTGTATGCCCATATTTTGATCAATATTATTTAAAAATAAATCTGATTTAAATAGTTTAAAAACTTTAAAAAGTATTTAAGGTAAATATAAAAATCACTAAATGTTTGCCCTAAATCATAAAAATTAAAAATTTATTTATTAAAATTAGTTAAATATAAATTAAAATTAATTTATGTGTAAACTATTTAATTAAATAAAATACACATTCAATGCATTGAATGCAAAAGCAATCAAAAGTTGTCAAAAGTTTTCAATGGGAATGAATTGCAGTCAATGCAGGCTTTCGTACAATAATAGTGTGAATGAAAGTCACGTGTGTTTTGTTGACAACACATAACAACATGTGTTGATTGCAGTCAATCCATGTCTTCAGGCATTTGATCCGTAATTATCACTATAAATGTCGGATCAGTTGAGTGCAGAAACCGGTGACCAAATCATCTTTGAAGACAAGGCCGACGGCGACAGTGAATACGGCCACGAATGCAGACAATTGAGCGCCGAAGAGGTGGCCACACTTCGGACCAATTCAACGATTGTCTCTGAATTCAGACAAAAGCGTTTGGAGAAGGAGTCGAAGAAGAATTGGGACCTCTTTTACAAACGAAATACAAACAAATTCTTCAAAGACAGACATTGGACTCAACGAGAGTTCGAAGAGTTGATTGACGGCCACGAAGACGATGGACGCGATGTACTGCTTCTGGAGGTGGGATGTGGTGTCGGAAACACCATTTGGCCATTGATTCAGTCGAAGACACACTTCCGGATCTATGTCTGCGACTTCTCTCCCGTTGCCATCGATTTGTTGCGAAAGAATCCACTCTTTGACGACAAGAAGTGCACCCCTTTTGTGGTCGACATCACCGACGAGGAGGCCATCGATCGCCAATTGGGATCAGATGTGCGCTTTGATTACGTGTCGCTTATATTTGTTTTGTCGACAATTAATCCCAACAAAATGGTGACGGCTTTGAAGAATATTCATCAGGTATTCAATCAATCATTTATTTGTTATTGAAATTAATTTTTGATTTTTTTCGCTTAAATTTTACATAAAATGTTTTAAACATTAAGAAAACGTTTAAATTAAACACTTTTTAAGTGTTTTTATGAAATTATTTTTTCTTTTGTTATTTTTAATATGAATTGAATTTTAAAGTTTTCATTCAAAATATGATTATTTTATGGGAAAATATATGTCAATTGAATTATAGGTCGGGAAAAATATTGTAAATTTAAATTAACTTAAAAATATGTGGCTTTTATTTCTCTATCAAAACACTGTCAGTATATTTATATTCAAAAATATTTGATTTGAAAACATTTTTGTTTGTATTGAAATTATATGACATTAATTTGTTTGATTTAGCGCTGAATATCGCAAACAGTGTTTCAAATCCAGTGTTGGATTTGTTTAAATATTTATTACTTGAAATATTTTTATGCAATTTATTTCAACCGAAACCTAAATCGTGGAAATTTATTCACACATCCAATCGTTTTTCAATTTATATATTATTATTTTGTCAAAACTATTTTTAAATGAGATTTTTTGAATACAATATATAATTTTTAATATGAGATTATAATTTATCAAAGTCTTTATGAATACAGTATTTTATATACAGAAATGTTTGTTAGTTTTATAATAACCGATGAAATAGCAATTTTGGATACATTTGCGTTCATTTGATTTGTATTA